TTGTTTCCTCGATAGAAATTTTCAGACACGAATGTTGTTTCCATTAGAGAAATTACAACACACGAAAATTGTCTGCTTTACAGAATAATAAACACACACGGATATCGTGTGCTCTACAGATTGGTTAAAATACACGAATGTACTTTCCTTGATAGAAATTTTCAGACACGAATGTTGTTTCCATTAGAGAAATTACAACACATGAAAATTGTCTGCTCTACAGAATAATAAATACACGATTAATCTGTGCTCGACAGAAAAGTTGAAATACATGAATGTTCTTTCCTTGAAACGTTGTTTCCTCAAGAGAAATTATAACACGTGAATACAGTCTGCTTGACAGAATAGACACACACGAATATTGTGTGCTTTACAGAAAAGTTAAAACATACATATTTACAACCTAACATTTGTTATTTCAATCTGTGTCAAAATTCGTTTATAACTGTTGCGTGAGAGTTGTAATAGTGCGTAAGCGCATGGCCACATTACCGTGGGCCTCGCTTATGCCCTTATGCTTATCTCAGAGGCTTACGCGGATTCGTTGTCTGCGCAAGTCTATTGCGCACGCTGCGTACCGTCGTCCCTGTTGGTACCTGCGCGGACAGAGTAGCGTCGGGACCACGTAACTGTACGGACGTGTCTCTCCCGAGTAACAACCTCCTTCCGATACTCGCTATATTCAATAAACAGCATTTATACTCACCTCATCTACATCGCGTACTTGCTACATACCCACGCAGTGTCCTACCTACCGGCAACTACCTATCCCAGATACGAGCAAGGAACATATTGGAATAACATTTTGAAACATTGGTTTTATAAGAATTTTACCAACGTTCTTGTACGATATTTTATTAATGTTTTTAAAATGTTACCGAATGAAATTATATTTCTAAATGTTTCAAAAATGTAATATTCTAAATATTTTACAAATGTTGCTTCAATACCTTTATTTTATTTTTTTTATCTCATCTTTTATATAATGTTAAAATAAAGAGTGCAAATTAGAAATTTGCACATGGCTTCCTCATGGAGGAAGCTTTATGAGCGAAATCTAATTTTTTTCGATGTTTCTTGAAAGTGTGCAAATTAGAAATTTGCACATTGCTTCTTCAGCATTGAAGCGTGCGAATTGGAAATTTGCACATTTGTTGTGTTTCTAAGGATTGTGGGAATAAGGCAAGACTCGTAACTATACTGTAGGGCTTCCTTTATTGGGAACACACGTAGCTCGCACGCTTGACAGTACTAAAACTAAAATCGACTCTACCGCCTCGCGCGTTCTTGTACATTAACTACTGCGTTACCGACCATCACATACCGATCGTACCTCTAATATCCTACATTTCCTCCCTTCTTTAAGATAGCTACTTTTAGCGCGGAATGAATCTTTGAGGTGCGCGTCGTATACGGGTTGATCTTCGTAATTCGGGGGATGGCTGGTTTACTTGTTGTTGTGGTGGATTGAACGATGAGTTACCCGATGATACCGAAACATATGAGTCTGAACTGCTATCCGATGAATCATCTAGACTCGGTGTTGGCGAAACTGCTCTTTGAGTTTTTGAATTCTCATAGAAGTGAATTCTTCGGGGGCTATCACCATTGGCACCTTGGTTTTGTGAACTGCCTCGATGATGATTGTCTTCCCAACGAGATCTCATCTGATCTACATGCCGCTTGAATCGTTTCCCTTGATAGTCGATCTCGTAGTGCAAATCTCCTAGACGTGTCACTATTGTGCCTGGAATCCACTTGTCCATACGTGGATTTCCTGATAAGAAATAAATCTTTTGAGTCGGTTGAAATTCGCGAAACGTTGGATTCGCTACGGCTTGTTGCTTCTGGGTAATTTTCACATTTGTTTCATCTGGTCGTACCAAATCCAATTTAGTTCGTATTGTCCGTCCTAAAAACAACTGTGCAGGAGATTGATTGGTTGTAGCGTGTGGAGCCCTCCTATATTGGCACAAGAATTCATTAAGATTGTGCTGGAGTGATCCTGGCGTAGTTGCCATAGTCTTCATCGCGTTTTTTACTGTCTGAACATAACGTTCTGCTTGACCGTTGGAAGCTGGATGATACGGTGCTATGAATTTATGGAACTTGACACCACTCTTTTGTAGGAACAACTTAAACTCCATCGACGTGAATTGGGGACCATTATCTGATACTATAGTGACTGGAACTCCGTACGTAGCAAATAGTTCCTCCATAATCGAGATTGTCGCTTGTGTAGTAGTAGAGTTAGTAGCCTTTACCTCGAGCCACTTGCTATAGGCATCCACTATAATGAGTAACATTTTCCCGGCTACAGGTCCTGCGTAATCGATGTGTACGCGCTCCCAAGGACCTTTTGGATATTCCCAATGATGGCTTCGGTACCTCGTTGGATCATGTGCATTTATTGAGCAATTGACACATGCTTTGGCTACTTCTTCAATCTTGGAGTCGATACCGGGCCAGAAAACGAAAGATCTCGCTAAGCCTTTCATCTTTACAATACCTATGTGAGCAGTATGCAATTCGCTGAGTATTGCTTCTCTAAGGGTTGGTGGGATAACAACTCTATGTTCGAACACTAAGCAGTTGCTTCCTAATCTGTAATGTATTTCTGGTGCTTTATAACCAAAACGAGATAGATCTTGCCCTGCTTCTAGACGTTGAACGATCTTTCCCAGATGAGGATCCTTCCGCGTTTCACGTGCTATTCTCTCGGCGTTCACTGGAAGTTGTTCGATCTGGTGCAGAACAAAATGATCAAATCCATCGTACTCTATTTCTTCCCTTTCCTTCAATGAAATTCGATGTGTTGTCGACGTAAACACTGGTATTGGTATTCTTGAACAGTAGTCTGCATTCGTGTTTTCTTCTGTTGGTTTAAATATAACATCAAAATCAAAGTGCGATAGATAATCGGCGTAATTTGCCATGCGACTGATACACAACGTAGGCAATGATTTTTCTGGATGTAGAATTTGTGTCAATGGCTTATGATCCGTTATAATAGTGAAATGACGGGCATACAAGTAGTAAAAGAATTTTTGAACAGCCCATACAATCGCTAGTGCTTCCTTATCTATTTGCGGATAGCGTTGCTCCGTAGCACTCATTGTTCTGCTTGCATACGCAATTGGTCGTTCCTGACCATTGCTTAGTCTATGGGATAGAACTGCACCTAGTCCCGTTTTGCTAGCATCTGTTGCAAGCAACAACGGACGTTTTGGATCATATGGCATTAGTACTTGAGGTGAAATTAAAATGTTTTTTATGTCTTCGAAAGCCTTCTCTGCAACTGATGTCCATTTGAAAAGTTTGCTGAGTAGCATGTCTCTAAGAGGACGGTCTCTTGTTGATAAATCAGGAATGAATGAACTATAATAAGAAGCTTTCCCGAGAAAAAGTTGTAATTCTTCTGGTGTGCTTGGCTTAGAAATTTTTTGGATTGCTTCGATATGTCTATCGGATTTGTGTATTCCTTGCGAATCCACTTTATGCCCTAGGAACTCAATTGACGATGTGGCGAATACACATTTCTCACGATTTAAATGAAGACCGTGTTCTCTGAATCTCTCCAAAACTTCGTCTAGAACTCGCAACAGACTCTCAAAATCTTCTGCAAAAATAATGAAGTCGTCATAGAAATTTTTAACATTCCGAAGACCCTCTATAACTATTTCCATTCTACGTTGCCAGATAGCAGGGATACTGGCGGCTCCATACACCGCTCGAGTTGGACGAATTAATCCGTGCGTTGGCGTGTTGAGTGTTAGCATGTGACTGGACTCTTCATCGAGGACAAGATGAGAATACGCATCGGAGACGTCCAGGTGACAGAAAATTTGTGCTTCTTTAAAATGGCTGAAAATATGTTCTACTTTAGGAATCGGATGTTCATCTATAACCACACGAGGATTAACAGTTGGCTTATAATTTCCGGTGATACGCAATTGACCATTTTTCTTCGCAACTACATGTGTTGTCGATAACCATTCCGAATACTCAACTTTTTTATAAAACCCGGATTCTATTTTCGAATCGATTTCTCTCGCATACGCATCTCGAAGCGCTATCGGAATTTCTCGCGCCTTCGCGAATATCGGTGTTGTACCTGGTTTCCGGTGAAGTGAAATTGGCGGACCAGTAAGAGTACCAGCTTTTAAATTAAATACATCTTTATATTTGGCTAAAAGTTGACCAAGTCGCTCTTTTTGCGCGTGTGTTAACTTAGGATTAACGGAACTGATCATATTTATTGTTTCGGTGGCGGAAAAAAGTTTTGCAAAGTCGATCTCATGTATGAAATGTGAGATCCATTCCCTACCAAACAATGCATCGAAATGTCCTTTAACTACAAATAGTTTAAGTTTTTGCGTGGTTTTTCCGATCGTTACGTTCACTAAAGTACGACCAATACAAGGAATTTGATGACCCGTATAACTGACAAACTGCCGATCTGTTTTCTTCAGCAAGAACTTTGGTTTAATTGTACGCAACGTCTTTACATTAACGATACCGCACGGTGCACCTGAATCTAATTCCATTCGTAGGATTTTACCATCTATTTCGACATCTATCATGCATTTTTGTCTCGAATTTACCGCGTTGATCTTATCACGATATCGGATCGTATCTACATGTTCTGCCGGTTGCAGTGCCGCTACTGTACGCGTATCAGTATTTAGTTCTTTGGACTTGCAGACTTTTGAAAGATGTCCCTTTTTGTTACACGTGTGGCACACAGCGTCGCGAAAACGGCATTGGCTACGTGCATGTTTACCACCGCAGCCATGACAGACGTAGTCCTTTTGTTGCCTGGATGAGTCCTGGTGATTCGGTTGTTGTCTCCGTCCCCGTGACGATGACCGTTGACGTGATGGCTTCCCATTGTGCTTCAGCTTCGGCTGACCGTACCCCAACTTGTGCGTAGTATCCTGAGTCGTCGAGCTGGATTCTTTGACCTCGTTCGTAGTTTTGCGCGTCGCCTCGAGCGCATTTGCAATATCGTAGGCCTCGGCGAATGTTGTTGGTTTCTTTGCAACGATTTCGTCGCACATCTCACGTACTGCTAACCCGTGAAGAAGCTGCTCGGTTAACATTCTATCGAGGAACTCGCCGTACTCGCAATGAGCTGCACCCTGTCGTAACCGGAGAGCGAAATTGGCGATCGTTTCTCCACTCTGCTGCGTGATGTGACGAAATCTGATGCTTTCTGCGTACTTATTTTTTGCTCGATCGAAATGCGAGATCAAGACTTGTTTCAACTCTTCGTACGTAAGGTCTTCCGGACTTCGTGGATTTATTAAGAACTTTAGGGCATTGTTAAGCTCTGAGCCCATGTGGACGCGTGCGTAATTAGCGTGTAGATCACTAGAAATTTTACTTAGCTCTAGCGACCATTCGAACCTCTTGAAATAATCAGCTACCAGCGTGTGTTCCGTCGACCGATACTCAGATATCGCGAACAGCGGTAATCGTGGTTTAGTCGTCGACGAAGATCCATTCGCTTCAGTGCCCAAATTCGCAATCGACGCCTGGATCGCGCTTGCCATCATGGCCGACATTGCTTGCATTAATTCCGGCGTTACGGTCGTCATCGCTGCTTCTTTAACTGTTGCGATTCTCCTCACTCACTTCTTTGGCCGTTGGATCCCAACTCTTCAGCCGTTGGATCCCACTTCTGACACCACTGTTGTGTTTCTAAGGATTGTGGGAATAAGGCAAGACTCGTAACTATACTGTAGGGCTTCCTTTATTGGGAACACACGTAGCTCGCACGCTTGACAGTACTAAAACTAAAATCGACTCTACCGCCTCGCGCGTTCTTGTACATTAACTACTGCGTTACCGACCATCGCATACCGATCGTACCTCTAATATCCTACACATTTCTTCCTCATCATTAAAGTAGGCAAATTAGA